ATGAGCATGATTTTTCAAAGGAGGAGATGGATATTCAATGAAATAAGGGACTTCCAAACTTTACTGATAAAAAGACCAGAGCTCAACAAAAAATTTGATCTTCAAATACAAGATTCAAGAAAGATATAAAAAGGTAAATGGGACAGAAAGATACAAAATGTTGTTAATAAGGGCAGACTGTTTACATCCCTACAAGGGAAGATGACACTTGCAGCTCTTGAGAACTGTATTGTTATCACACCATGTTAAAGGAGTATACATAAAGGGGGTGGATATAAGTTGACTTTAATGTAATGATAAAAAAAAATCTAATCAAGTGGGTTAAATGGATCCAAGTAAGTGGATTAATCCGATCTTATAAAATGTACTGAGAAAGGAGGAGGCAAACAAGGGCAAATTACATTACAGGAAAAGGCAGAAAATCCAATAAAGCAGAGGGAAAGAAGGGAGGGAGGTGGGGCATTGTTTGAACCTTACTCTCATCAGATTTGGCTCAAGAAGGGAATAACATAATCAGTTAGGTATAGAAATCTAACTTGCCCTATAGGCAGTAGAAGGGAAAAGGGGAAAGAAAAGGGAGGGGGCATAGAAGGGAGGGAAGAAGCAGTAAGGGCAAAGAGGAAGAAAAGGGAAAGGGATACTAGAAGGGAGGAGAGACTGGAGGCAGTGTTCAAAAGCAAAACACTAGTGAGGGGTGGGGAAGGAGAAAGAAGAAAGAAAATCATAAACAGGGGGAAAAATGATGGAGAAAAAGACACAGATAGTAATCATAACTGTGAATGTGAATGGGATGAACTCTCCCATAAAACAGAAGCAGATAGCAGAATAGATTAAAAGCCATAATCCTACAATATGTTGTTTACAGGAAACACATTTGAAAAAGAGTGACACATACAGGGTAAAGGTAAAAGGCCGGAGCAGAATATATTATGCGTCAGCTGAAGTAAAAAAAGCAGGGGTAGCAATCCTGATCTCAGACAAAGCAAGAGCAAAAATAGATCTAATCAAAAGAGATAAGGAAGGAAACTACATCCCGCTAAAAGGCACCATAGACAATGAAGTAATATCATTAATAAACATATATGCACCAAATGGTATGGCATCCAAATTCTTAGAGGAGAAGTTCAGGGAGTTACAGGAAGAAATAGACAGCAAAACTATACTAGTGGGGGACCTCAACCTCCCCCTCTCTGATACTCTAACTAAAAAATCTAACCACAAAATAAACAAGAAAGAAGTTAAGGAGGTGAATAGAACATTAGAAAAGTTAGGTATGATAGACCTCTGGAGAAAACTGAATGGGGATAGAAAGAATATACTTTTTTCTCAGCAGTACATGGCACATACACAAAAATTGACCATGTACTAGGGCATAAAAACCTCACAATCCAATGCAGAAAGGCAGAAATATTAAATGCATCCTTTTCAGATCATGATGCAATAAAAATTATATGTAATAAAGGGCCATGGAAAGATAGACTAAAAAATAATTGGAAACTAAATAATCTAATCCTAAAAAATGATTGGGTCAAACAACAAATCATAGAAACAATCAATAATTTCATTCAAGAGAATGACAATAATGAGACAACATACCAAAACTTATGGGATGCAGTGAAAGCAGTTCTTAGGGGAAGTTTTATATCTCTAAATGCTTACATAAATAAAATAGAAAAAGAGGAGATTAATGAATTGGGCATACAACTAAAAAAACTAGAAAAAGAACAAATTAAAAATCCTCAACTAAACACCAAATTAGAAATATTGAAAACCAAAGGAAAAATTAATAAAATTGAAATTAAGAAAACTATTGAACTAATAAATAAAACTAAGAGCTGGTTTTATGAAAAAACAATAAAATAGATAAACCTTTGGTTAATTTAATTAAAAAAAGAAAGAAGAAAACCAAATTACTAGTATCAAGAATGAAAAGGGTGAAGCTACCACCAAGGAAGAGGAAATTAAAACAATAATTAGGAATTATTTTGCCCAACTATATGCCAACAAATTTGACAATCTTAGTGAAATCGATACATAATTCAAAAACATAAATTGCCCAGATTAACAGAAGAGGAAGTAAAATACCTAAATAACCCCATCTCAGAAAAAGAAATTGAACAAGCCATTGATGAACTCCCTAAGAAAAAATCTCCAGGGCCAGATGGATTTACATGCGAATTCTATCAAACATTTAAAGAACAATTAATTCCAATACTATATAGACTATTTGGGAAAATAGGTGAAGAAGGAGTCTTACCAAATTCTTTTTATGATACAAATATGGTGTTGATACCTAAACCAGGAAGAGTCAAAATAGAGAAAGAAAATTATAGACCAATTTCTCTAATGAATATAGATGCAAAAATTTTAAACAAATACTAGCAAATAGATTGCAGCAACTTATCACAAGAATAATACACTATGACCAGGTAGGATTTATACCAGGAATGCAGGGTTGGTTCAATATTAGGAAAACTATCAGCATCATTGAGCATATCAACACAAAACCAACAGAAACCACATGATCATCTCAATAGATGCAGAAAAAGCTTTTGATAAAATACAACACCCATTCCTATTAAAAACACTAGAAAGCATAGGTATAAATGGAGTCTTCCTTAAAATAATAAATAGCACCTCTCTCTAAAACCTTCAGCAAGCATTATATGTAATGGGGACAGGCTAGAAGCATTTCCAATAAGATCGGGGTGAAACAAGGATGTCCATTATCACCACCGTTATTCAATATTGTACTGGAAACCTTAGCTTTAGCAATAAGAGAAGAAAAAGAAATTGAAGGCATTAGAATAGGCAAAGAAGAAACAAAGCTATCACTCTTTGCAGATGACATGATGATATACTTAGAGAATCCTAGAGAATCAAGTAAAAAACTACTTGAAATAATAAACTTTAGCAAAGTTGCAGGCTATAAAATAAACCCACATAAATCATCAGCATTTCTATATATTACCAACAAAGCCCAACAGCAAGAGATAGAAAGAGAAATTCCATTTAAATTTACTGTAGACATTATAAAATATTTAGGAGTCTACCTCCAAACAAACCCAGGAACTCTATGAACACAATTACAAAACACTTTTTCACACAAATAAAATCAGATCTAAATAATTGGAAAAACATCAGTTGCTCATGGGTAGGCTGAGCTAACATAAGAAAAATGACAATCCTACCTAAGTTAATTTACTTATTCAGTGCCATACCAATCAAACTACCGAAAATTATTTTATAGAGTTAGAAAACATAATAACAAGATTCATTTGGAGGAACATAAGGTCCAGAATATCAAAGGAACTAATGAAAAGAAATGCAGGGGAAGGTGGCCTAGCAATTCCACATCTTAAATTGTATTATAAAGCAGCAATCATCAAAACTGCTTGGTACTGGCTAAGAAATAGGGAGGTGGATCAGTGGAATAGGTTAAATATGCAAGACACAGTAGTCAATAACTATAGTAATCTATTATTTGATAAACCCAAAGAACCCAGGTTCTGGGATAAGAACCCACTCTTTGAAAAAAACTGCTGGGAAAACTGGAAAAGAGTATGGCAGAAAATTGGAACACTAATGCATTGTTGGTGGAGTTGTGAAATGATACAACCATTTTGGAGAACAATTTGGAGCTATGCCCAAATGGCTATAAAAATGTGCATACCCTTTGATCCAGCAATAGCACTTCTAGGGCTATATCCTAAAGAGATCATACAAATGGGAAAAGGACCCACGTGTACAACAATATTCACAGCAGCTCTTTTCTGTGGTGGCAAAGAATTGGAAATTGAGAGGATGCCCATCAATTGGGGAATGGCTGAGCAAACTGTGGTATATGAATGTAATGGAATACTATTGTGCTATAAGAAATGATGAACAGGCTGACTTCAGAAAAACCTGGGAAGACTTGTATGGTCTGATGTTGAGTGAAGTGAGCATAACCAAGAGAACGTTGTACACAATAACAGCCAGATTGTGCGATAACTAATATTGATAAACTTAACCCTTCTCAGCAATACAAGGATCTAAGACATCTACAGAGGCCAAGTGATGGAAAATGCTATCCACATCCAAAGAAAGAACTATGGAAGTTGAATCGCTATCTTTTTTTTTCTCTTCTGTTGAGTTTTGTTTCCTTTTTCTGATGGTTCCTCTTATTGGTTTTAATTTTTACTTACAACTTCACTAATATGAAAATATGTTTAATAGGAATGTAAATGTATAGCCTATATCAGATTGTGCACCGTCTTGGGGAGGGTGATTGGGGGGAAGGGGAAGAAAAAATTTAAACTCAAAAGCATGTGGAAGTGATTGTTGATAAATCAAAATAAATTAATAAAATAATTTTTTTTTAAAAAGGGTGGGGAGATGGCTCCTTGGGAGGCTTGAGAAAAAAGTTAGAAGGTTTAGGATAGAAGCTGTAGAAATTGCAAAATTAAATTGATCAAGGATGAGTAGAACATCTGCTTTGTTGCAATGAAGGTTCAATTGAGGTAGATAACACATGTGTAGTGGGCCCTGTAAGCTTGGTTTTGAGGATTTCCCTGGCTCCATTCAACAGCAGGTGAATAGGAGCAAAGGAGACATCTGATGGGAGCAATGCAAGGTTGTGGTCTGGTTCTGTAACCAGTGAAGTGTCTCTGCAAAGGTCAGGAAGGCACAACTGGTTGTGTTAACTTGAGCAATGTTGGCAAGGTAAGCAATATGAGAGGTTAATAAAACTCAGGTGTAATCTTCCTTATTTTTAAAATGAAGTTACATAAATAGGGAAGCAGAGATGAAATTTTTAAGCTTTTTATATTCATCAACCCACATTTTTTATCCTTGGGTATGTACTATGTTTACTGTTTTCAAAGCATTGTAGTGTGTTTTATGGGAATCGATGGACACAAAGACATGACCCCTGCTCTTGAATAATATACTATTTATCCCCTGGGATGATGGCCATACCTAGGTTTTAATCTTTGGGTCTCATTTGGTTCCATGGCCAGGTTTTTGTGATCCCCCGCCCAAACTTGTGTACGCTGCCCCAGTATCGCCTTTGGAAATAGGAGGTGAAACTATCTTCATAGATGGAACACAGTTGAAATACACCTGCCGCCCAGGCTACAGCCGAAATACCTCCAAGACTATACTTACCTGTGAAAAAAATTCCTGGTATCCTACTACTCCATTCTGTGTCAGTGAGTACCTAATATTTGATTTTTGGTTTCCTAGGTTTTCTGAATATCTATGTGCCTCTCTGTGAGGTACTTTTGGGTACTATGAGAACCTTTGGCTCCTTGGGGAACTACTGAGTCAGTTACCATGTCAACATACAGATGCATTCCATTTCTGAAAAAGTCAATATATGAAAAATCATGGGGAAATCATTTGTATTGTGAAAGGGTTTTTTGAGCTACAAAATAATTCACTAATAACCTCTTTCAATACACAAGCTATTCTTTGATTGATAAAATTTTGTTCTATTTTTAAAGGCCCCCTCTATTGGGCATAACTAGCTGTCTCCAAATATTTGAAGGACATTCATGGGGAAGTATCAGGTATTTTTGCATACTTTTAGAAGGTAAACTGGGACCAAGAGGTAAATTTAAGAAGAAGATTCTAAATATTTCATCTGTCCAACTGTGGAATGCACTGCCTTTTGAGCTACAGAGTTCTGCATTATTAAAATTATGTAAAGCAGACATTATTTGATTTCTAGTTGAGGATGTTGTAGCGGATTTTCACATCAAGCAGGGGGTTAGATTAGATAATATCTAACATCCCTATAATTCTATAAGTTGTAAGACTTGTGCTCTGTTCCAAGCTTGACCTAGTTAGTTGTGTAAAATTGTACAAGTTCCTTCATCTTTCTGGATACAGATTTCCTCCTCTATAAATTGGAGGGGTCAGATTAGATAATCTCTAAGGTGCCTTAATAATAATAAAGTTCTATGAATCTATAATTAAAGTCAGATATGCCTGTATTGTATTTTTTCATGTAGTTTTTCTTTTTATTAAAAAAGTTTTATGGTTGTTCTTTTTTCTTTTAATATTTTATTTTTTTCCCAATTACATGTAAAAATTTTTAACCTTTTTTTATTGAACGATTTTGAATTCTAGTAACCAGAAGATAGCCAGGGATTTTTCAAAGGTGACTCACTGAAAATATGTCATCTTTGTACAAAGATAATGACGTTGACTCTCTGTCGTTAGGCCTTACATTGGGTGGGTGTTTCCCAGGATCAGTGATATCTTTATGCTGATCCATCTATGCTATTTCTCCCAGAATCTCTGGTAAACAAGGGTATGAATGAGTGGGTCTGTCTTGTGTTAGGGATGTTGTGCATGTAGATGGAACAGCATGAAGCAGTTTTGGATACAGAGTTGGATTTGGAGTCAGAAAGTCCTGGGTTCAAAACCTATCTCTGACCTCGTTTATAAAATGGGATTTTGCAACAGTAACTATATCACATGTAGGTTGTCATGCTCAAATGACATAGTGCATTTAAGGCTCTTTTCATACCCTAAGATGTTACATAAATGGTTATTATTATATTATGGAACAGAGTAAAACTAGCTGGCTCACATAGGATTCCAACCCATTACTTTTTTTTAAAATGAAGTATTATAGTTTAATTGAATTGAACTGACCTGAATGTAAAGAATTTTTATAACCCCTTTAAACCTTTTCTTTTTGATGTCATGGACTAACTTGGAAATCTGGCAAAGCTTACAAACCCCTTCTTGGAATAATGTGATTTTTAAAAAATATATTTATTTTATGTATCTTTTAGTTACATTTTGAGTTTTGAGTTGTCTCCCTCCTTCCCAATCCTGCATTAGAGAAAGCCAATCTTTGATACAGATATACATGAGGAAGCATACAGTACATACTTCCATATAGCAGTTCTTTTTCTGGAGGTGGATAGCATTTCCCTTCATAAATCCTTCATAGTTGATTTGAATGTTCATATTACTCAGAATAGCTTAGTCATTCACAGTTACTCTTTGAACAATATTGCTGTTACTATGAAGAATGTTCTCTTGGTTCTGTTCATTTCACGCTGCACTGTTTCATGTAAATTTTTCCATGTTTTTCCTAAAATCAATCAGTTAATCATTTCTTACAGCACAGTAGTATTCCGTCACATTCATGTACCACAACTTATTTAGTCATTCTCCTGTTGACGGGCATTCTCTCCATTTCCAGTTCTTTGCCACCACAAAAAGAGCTTCAAAAACCATGACTTTGACTTTACCAGCTGGGCACACTAACTGAACTAGTCAGCTTATTCACGGATATAACTTGGGCCAATGATCTTAAGACTTGAAGAAATTATGATTTGACAATTAGCAGCAATTTCAGAAGTCTGTTGCTATTTTAAAATCCATTTTGCTGTAGGAATACATCAGAAAAATGGATCAAAGTCTTTTTTTCCCTTTTGTTTGTCCCAAAGAAGACAATGAGTAGAACTGAATTCATTTGAAGCTTTTATTCCTCTAGGTCTTTCTGAAAGCAGAATTTGAAGATAAGGTCCTAACTTCTTCCCTGATGATTTTTTAAACTGTTATATGTTTCCAGCCATTATAAACTTTAACTCCTGCTTTATTTTTCTCATAGAGAAACGATGCCATCACCCAGGAGAACTGAACAATGGGAGAGTGATTGTTAATACAGATCTTGAATTTGGCTCCAAAATAGAATTTAGCTGCTTGGAGGGGTGAGTGTCAGGTACCCTGAAATCCAACACCTTTCTTTGGTCTGTAGAACAGAGCTCCAGGCTGAACAGGACAAATTAAATTGCCAGGAAAAAAAATCCTTACATTAGAAAGTAGAGCTTATAATATGTAGACTTACGAATACCTAAGGACATCTTAGGGCAACCATTCTAGCAGTTTGAAAGTGAAGGTATAATTTGTTAATCAATAAGTAAGTATTTATGAAGTCTTTACTTTATACTAACCACTGGGCTTGGTGCTAAGGATACAAATACAAAAATGTCACAATGCCTGTCCTCAAGGGGTTTATATTCTGCTAGGGAGAGACATGTTCACAAATGAGTAAATACAAGATGTATACAAAATAAAGACTCAGTGATTGGGGGGGGAGGGGAGCACTAAATTAGAGGAACTGAGAAAGGTCTTTTTTCTTTTTTTGGCTAAGTAATGGGGCTGAGTGACTTGCCCAGGGTCATACAGCTGCTGTGTTATGTGTCTGAGGCCAATTTGAAAACTCAGGAACTCCTGACTCCAGGGCTAGTGCCTTATCCACTGCGCCACCTAGCTGCCCCTCGAGAAAGGTCTTTTGAAAGAGGTGATATTTAAGCTAGTCCTTGAAGGCGGAAGAGTTCCAAGAATCAGAGGTGAGGAGACAATGCATTCTGAGCACAGGGAGATAGTATATGCAAGTGTTGCAGGTGGGGACATGAAACTTTTCATTTTCATTCTCGTTGGAAACCTGTATTTATTAGCTCTATACTTTGCTTTTGTTTTGTGTGCTGTGGAAATTTATCTAATACAGACAAGAGAGCTTATGGTGGAAGTGGAAAGAACACTTGATTTGGAATTAAAGGACCTGGATTTGAATGCTGGCTCTGCTACATCTTGCTGGTGTGACCTTAGACAAGATGCTTTACCTCTCTGGGCCTCAGTTTCTCATCTGTAATATCAGAAATAGGTTGTCCTTGTCAGTGGTGTCAAAAGCAAATGGAATTGGAATACTGTCTTGGAAAACCACAAATTAACATTATCTATGTTGTATTATATTTTTATGTATCTTGTTAAGCATTTTCCAATTATATTTTAATCCAGTGGTTTCACTATGGAGTGTTTCAGGTGGCCAGCTGTGGTCCCTTCCAAATCTCAAATTCTATAATTCTGTATGTTTTCTTTTATTATACAGTGAGAAGTAGAAAACTTAACTTTTCCCTTTATGACTCTGATATTAGAAAACTCAGAGCTAATACACATCAGTCAGAAGAAGTGGCTTCAGATTCTGACTTTACAAATTACTATGTGTATAGCTCTTAGAAAATCACTTCATCTTTCTCATATATGACTGTGTCACTTCTCAAAAAGCATCAATGACTCTCTGGCCTCAGTTTCCTCATCTGTAAAATGAGGAGGGAGAATGATATGATTTGTAAGATGCCTTTCAGTTCTAAATTCTGTTATTGGAAACTAAACACTAAAAGCTGACCTCTCAGGGACCCAGTACATCCACGACTTTGCTCCTTTCATTGACTATTGTCACCTTTTGTTCTGTTTTAACTTTATATGCAAACGCAAACCCTTTTTGGCAGCAGGTCAGATATAACTTATGAACAAATCATGATAATCTTGATGATATTGTGATTGCTGGTTACACTAACAATGTTTATTCCAGGCAAAATGGTGATAGAAGGACTAGGCTGGTGGGATGGAGTCTGAGATGAAAGAATGAACCAGCAGATATCAAGGTCTAATTATAAATTGAGTCTAGTAATCAAGAAGTCAAGGCATGTGGGAGGAGTCAATGTTTAAGCACAGTTAAAAGCAAACTGGAGGTCTAGAATCCAGGAAGTCTTCAAGTTGAGAGGGGAAATAAGCAAATATCAGCATTCAAAGATAAGCAGAAGCAAAACATCCAACATGTTAGCTCATTCAAAGAAACAACAATCACTACTCTGACACTCCTGAACTGGCCTAATCCCAAGGACAGAAAGAACCTATTTACCTTTTGCTTTTTTTTATATTAAGTAGGAAGTGATCTCAGATTACAGAAAAGTGAGGAGTTAAGAAAAGGATGCAGGGAACACAGCTACACGCATAGTCCTCTTTTGTTCAGGAAGGAATTATTTCTCCAGACCCCATATAGGGTCAAGACACACAGTTTAAGAAGTGCTAAAGGGGTCATGAGTGGAAAAAGTTTAATAAGCCCTGCAGGAAGCCTATCTTATTTGTACTAATGAACTACAGCCAAGTTAGGCAAAGTTGCTGCTGGTATCTAGTGAGGCCAGATGCTAAAACCAAATTGCTAAGGTATCCCTTATGGCTGAGTTATGCTTGTGGAAGGAAGGGTTTCACTGATGCTTTTGACTCTACTCATTCAGATACAATTTAATTGGATCATCGACAAGTCATTGTGAGATTTTCGAATCAGGAGTTGCCTGGAGTGATCCTCTTCCAGTATGTGAAAGTAAGTCAAGCTCTTTCCTAACTTGCTCTTGAACCTTCTTATCATAAAAGCTCTTGTATTTTCATGAGTCATTCCCAACTCTTGCCTTCCCCTCACTCCACATTTTCAACTGGTTGCCAAGCCTTCTCAATTCTTTCTCCACAACCTGTCTCACACCAGTCCCTTTTTCTCTATTTGGATGGTTACCACCCTAAACCAAGTTCTCATTACTCTTGAGTGATTGCAATAGCTTCCTGTTTGATCTCTCCTCTCTCTATCCACACAAGAGCCAAAAGGACATTCTTAAGGCTCAGAGGTGACCACATCATTCTTCTCAAGAAGCTTCAGTGCTTCTCTGTTGACTCTAAGATCAAATACAAATTCCTTTGTTTGGCCTTTAAAGCCCTTCACAATCTGAATCGAACTCATCTTTCTAGACTTAGTTAATAGAAATCATAGAGAGAAATAGATTAGATAGATATATGAACAGTTAGATGATAGACACAGATAGATAGATGATAAATACATTGATATAGACGGATGAGTAGATATAAATTAGATAAATACAGACAGAGATAGACATGCAAATAGATGATGGATAAATATATAGGTAAATGATAGCTAAATATATATAGATAAATTATAGATATACATAAATAATAGACAAATATATAGATAAATGATAGATGATATGGATGGATAAAACATTTATTGAGCACTGGGGATACAATTTTTTAAATGATGATGCCTACTTTTAAGGAGTTTACATTCTAATAGGTAAAGATAAGTGGAGCTGGAAAAGGGGATGGAGAAGATTCCATTGGGGATGGAGGGTGAGTCATTCATTGAAGAGAAATGAGTCAGCTGCTGAGGAAGTAGAACAATCTGGAGAATGAATTGAACTGGGAGTGAAGAGAGAAGCATGGCTGAAGGGAGAAGGAAGGAAGTATTTACTAAATGCCTATGTGCCAGGTACTGTGCTTAGCACTTCACAAATATCATCTTATTCAATTTTGTTGTTGTTGTTGAGTCATTCAGTCATGTCCAACTCTTTGTGATGCCACTTGGGATTTTCTTGGCAGAGACACTGGAGTGGTTTGCCATTTCCTTCTCCAGTTCATTTGACAGATGAGGAAACTGAGGCAAACAGAATTAAGTGACTTGCCAAGGATCACACAGCTAGTAAATGTCTGAGGCTGGATTTAAATTCAGGAAGATGAGTCTTCCTGACTTTAGGCCTTGTTCTCTATTCACTGCACCACCCAGCTGTCCTCCCATTCAAAAGCCCCTTCAAGAAAGGGAAATCCCAGGGACTCACCATCACAGGGGGCAGGCCTAAGGGCAGAGTTATCCTAAGGAGCTCAAGTTAGCTAGTAGGAAGGTAAAACAGTCCAGAGAGTGAGTTGAGATGTGGAGGAAGGGAGGAAATCGAGTGAAGAGGTAACAGTAAATGCCTTCCCTGATTCTGTTTTCCTCCCTCCTTGTATCCAGTTATAATTTGTCCACCACCACCACAAATCAGCAATGGAAGGCACAGCAGCAGAGAAGATGGCATCTACAGCTTTGGCTCTTCTGTGACCTACAGATGCAACACTCCGTTCTCACTTATAGGCAAGGCTTCTGTTTCCTGTACTGTGGTAAATGAGACTATTGGCACATGGAGTCCACAGCCCCCTATTTGCAAAAGTAAGTGACCAAGCCTAAAAGAAGAGCAACACGTTTAAAGTTTTATTTATTTTTTTTAATGGAGGATGGAAGTTTGAAGAGTGGGTACTAGAAACTCACTTCAGTGTAGTAAATTTGTATCCATTTAATGTTAATTGAGCATCAGCAAGTTGCCTAATGCTAGACCAAGAACTAAGGGGTCAACGGGATAAAGTGAGAAATAAAATTTTCCCTGCCTTCAAGAAGCTTAAAGGCTGAAGGGATCCATAAGAGGGCTGGCACTAATATTTATTTGTGTAGCACCTTCTCTGGGCTCATTCCCACAGTGTGCACTGGCACTGGTAAGTTGTATCACCTGAGGATCCTAAGGTTAACCGTATGGCTGGCTAACCTAACATTAGAGCTCATGAGTGTCTATTGGCTGCCCTTCCCTGTAATGACCAACCAGCAGATCAGTTAGTTTTTAGTAAAGGTATCTGCCCAAATGTTAGAGCAAGAACAATGTTTCACAGCACTTCCCCTCAAACTTGGGACATACTCTCCCACATCAACGCATAAAGTCCATGTTGGGTAAGACTGGGTGATAGTAAGGCACTCATACAGAGAAGGCAAAGGTCTAAGGTAATTCACAACTCTGGACCTGCAGTGTCATGTGGACCTTTCATTCTCTGGAAGTCTGCTGAAGGGTCTCAGGTACAGATGGGTGATTCCGCTTCTCAGCTGCTCTGGCTTCTTATCGAGTATCATGTCTCTGCTCAGTAGCTGACCTGGTGCTAGGCCTGCAAGAAGCTCACTGAGGTGTAAAGCTAGTTCCTTACAGAATTGGGCTGTTGCTGGGCTGGGCCAGGTAATTAATTTTCACTGGTCTCTTGTTTCTGGCCTGGACCAGGCAGGTTACTTTGAAGCTGCTGACCACTGGGCTCTTCCAAGAGTTTAGTATGTCTGCTAGACTGATTGATACTCTGGGCTCTCTGGACTCAGATAGGTAGGTAGCTGCAGTCTCTGGCGTAGCTAAGTGTCACAACACTCTTTTAATTTTTTTTTTAATTTTTAGGAAATTGGGGTTAAGTGACTTGCCCAGGGTCACACAGCTAGTAAGTGTCAAGTGTTTGGTCTGAGGCCGCATTTGAACTGAGGTCCTCCTGACTTCAGGGCCGGTGCTGTATCCACTGAGCCATTCAGCTGCCGCTACAATGCTCTTGTCAGCAAAGGCAACATCTCTTAGACTAAAATTGACAGAAACTTTCCTTCTTAGACTCCCTCAGAGAAAGACTCTGAGCTTTGTCAGGCAAGAAGTGGAAGAGGTCTAACACTTCTTTCTGGTTGAGAGGTGGCATTTTACTTCAGTGAAGTTGCAATTCCTAGATTCCTGCTGGGTCACCAGTAGAAGAGTGGCTGAGGACAAAGGTAATAAAGGCCTCTGTCCTGGGACAAGCTCATTGTCTCACTGCCTCTTCATTTACAATGGGCTATTCAAGCTTTAGACCTCCTCTAAGGAATAGATGGAGCATTTCCTTTGCATCTGAAAAGTTCTTTCCCCTTAACAAGTTGGTGTCTTTGGCTCTTATGACCCTCAACCTTTTTGAAGTCTAAATTACATATTCTTGCTAGTCTAGAAGATTATTGACTTCTTAGCTCTTAATTAACACAAAATCACTCTGTCTGATTCTAGAGGACATAGGCAATTCCTTCCCCTGCTGCACCTCAATTTTCTCATCTCTAATCAGAAAGAATATTAACCAAGTATGACTATGCTGGACCATAGCGCTATGGTCAGAATGATGGAGGAAGTGTAGCTATTCTTTTGTTCTAAGTTTCTTAGAGCTTGATACCAGGCAAATATTTGGAGTTATAAAATATTCTTACTGTGCCTCATGAGCTGTGGAATCGTAAAGTTGGAAAGGACCTTAGAAATCGTAAATGTCACAGGTTCCTAACCTGGAGCCATGAACTTCTTGTTGTTTGTTTGTTTGAATATTTCAGTAATTATATTTTGATAGTATTGCCTTCCTTTGTATTCCTATTGTCGACCTGAAAGTTGGTTAAAGAAGCAACAAGCTAAGTGATAAGTAAATTCATATTGTTTATTCCTTTAAGTTAACGACATGTACATGGAGCCAGAGCTTTAGCTCTGACTGAATTAAACAATTTTAGGAGGACATTGAAACTCTGACTCAGGATGTCCGTGTTACTCAGATTTATGGTCTCCATATGATGGGGTGTGGCCCAAGCCAAGGTCTTTGCCCCTTGCCCTAAAGGGAATCTGGCTCCCCTTTTGTCTACAGACCCCAGCTCTTATCTCCCCTTGAAAGCCCTAGCTTACCTTTAGATCTTATTCAGATGCACCTTCAACCCTTTCCCTGAATAGAATCTGGCTCCTGTTTGTCTACAGGACCGGGAAAACTCTTAAACCTTCAAATTTCCCAATTGACTCCCCTCATCTCCCTTTGAAAGCCTTAGCCTTACCTTTTAATCTTATTCAGTTCTGGCTCCCTTTTGTCTACAGCCCCAGAAAAGCCTTCCTTTATCTCCTTTTGAAAGTCCTAGCCCCACCTTGATTTTATGCAGATGCCTTTCAAGCTTCTGCCTTCCTGTTCCCTCCATTAGCTATTCCCATTGTCTATTCAATCTCTCATACCTCCCTAATTAGAATTCTTACCTAGACCCTTTTCCCAATCCAGTTCTCTGGCCACCCAAAGTTACTTTAGTATTTAATATCCACCTTGGCCCTCATTCAGATGCTGAGAATCTCAGGCCCACAAGGCTGAGAACCTCTCATGCCCGCTTGTCCTTACGGGTGTCATCCGTCCTATATGTTTTACCACTAATAAACTTTTCCTCTGGCTGAAGAAGATTTGAGTTGAATTCTTTCAGGCAGGGCCCAGTACCGTGATCTTGGGGTCCCAGCACCCCAAAACCCCTAGACCTCTTCACATATATGTTTAACTATAGCATGAGGAAGAAATTTTCTTCATTGAATAGGTTGTAAATACAATAAAGTAGGAAAATGTTAAAGTGTCCATTAAAATTATAGATCCAGGATATTTGCGCTTAACATAGATAAGAAAAGTCCCGCCATTCAAGGTAGCATCCAGGTCTAAGGTGCCTTAGTGATCATAAACAGAAGAGTGCTCTTGGTCAGCTTCAGCTGTTGACACAGGAAGGGGCATTCTTAGTTCACTCAGAGAATAAAGAAAAGCATGTCTATAATGTTGGAGTGCTTCTCCTAGTTGATTAGTTCGGGCTTTGGCCCTTATTGGGGTTCACATGATCTTGAGTGATCATCACTATGTATTTTATTTTATGCTGTTAAAAACATCATTTTAGGAGTCCATAAGCTTCACCAGATTGCCAAAGGGGCCCATGACACAAAAATGTTTAAGAACCTCTGCTCTAGTGCAACATTCCCATTGTACCAAGTAGGAAACTTTCTAACATGTATCTCCATGAAACATTAGGTACTTCCAATTATGGCTTTGCTAATATGATTGTGTTGTTATGCCAGGTAATTTGGGTTGAGTAAGTCTCGTTTTTCTTTCTTTAGAGGTCTCCTGTAAGCAGCCACAGTTTCCAAATGGGAAGTTAATCTCAGGTCTTGGACCCATCTATACATACAAAGATACTATTTTGCTTGAGTGCAACAGAGGTTACGTTCTAAATGGCACCAATGTGATTCACTGTGAAGATGACAGTCTGTGGCATCCTGATATACCCACTTGTGTGATCAGTGAGTATGGACACATTCTAAGCCTACCCAGAAATGCAGGCATTGGAACACATGTTGGTATCAACATATACTTTGTCACAGTACAGTTTTATTTTATTCCAATTATCAGAATACTAGGTGGCTGATTTTTTTTTTGCAAGGCAATTGGGATGAAGTGACTTGCCCAAGGTCATACAGCTAGTAAGTATCAAGTGTCTGGTCTGAGACTGATTTGAACTCAGGTCCTCCTGACTCCAGGGCCAGTGCTCTATCTACTGTGTCACCTAGCCACCCCTAGGTGGCTGATTCTCAAAGAGCTCCACCTTCCCCTGCTGTAAAAGAAAAGTAAATTCAGCTCTGTTTATAGAGTTGCTTAGGGCAAGGGGCTGCCAACATAGCAAATGATAATAATTATTATTATCATTAGTATCAGCATTTAATAGTGCTTTAAATTTTGCAAGGCGATACACACGTATATACGTCTTTGATCTTCACAACTACCCTCAAAGGCAATTGCTTTTATTATCCCCATTTTATAGATGAGGAAGCTAAGGCTGAGAAAGGTTAAGTAATTTGCCCAGAGTCAAACAACTAGCAGAGGTCTGACACTGGATTGGAACTCAGGACTTTCTGGCCCCAATTATCCACTATAACCATCTAGTGGCCCCTTTTACTTTGCTTCATATCATTTTTGCCTCCAATCCAACCCAAAGAACCTGCCATTCAAAATGTAGGAAGCTGGAGCTCAATAGATATATCATGGAAATCATGATTTCAGTGATGTGGACATTGTACTTGGTGTCATTCGTTATACAAGCATGACATCATCAGGTGAGGCTTCAATTGTGAATGATCACAGGATATTTGTTCTTGCCAGGTCTTTATCTGAAGGGTAAGAGAGGAAGTTCCCAGTGACAATCACAGTTGGTGACTAGGCAGACACCTTTTGTCCACTCTCACCATCCAGTTAGGAAGCACTCCAAAGTCAATCTCATATACCCGGAAACTTTTACCAATTGTCTTTACTGCAGGGTAATTGGCTGGTTAAGTGCTTTCACTTGAATATAAGATCATTCAAAGATAAGTTAATTTAAATGGATTTATTATTTTTGCTATCAAGAATATAATAACATAACAATAACAGCTAGTATTTATATAGTACTTCAATGTTCACAAGGCCCTTTACATATGTTATGTCATTTGATTTTCACAACAACCCTGGGGGGTAGGTGGTAGTATTATATCTGTTTCACCAATGAGAAAACTGAGACACAAAGAGATTAAGTGACTTACCCATGGTCACACAGTGAGTGTATGAGGCAGGATTTGAACTCAGGTCTTCCTGACTAAGTATGTACAGTGCTTTGTGTACTATACCCTCTAGCTTAAGAGGAAAGATAATATCTCTCGTCTAGTTCTTTCAAAGATTAGAAACCATTCATCTTTTTCAATCTGAACACTCTTCCAATAACTGTGCATACCATGTAGCATTGCCATATGTGTGTGTATACATACATACATACACATACATATCTACACATACATATCTACATATATATATATATATTCAGTTCACTGGTGGAGATGTTTCTGTACCAGTCTCCAGGGTTCCCTCCTACCTCTTTGCAGGGTTTAATGAGAATACATTTTATCCCACAGCGAAATCTTTCAATCCCTCAATAGTTCCCTGTGTCCAATTTTTCCTTTCCCAATTACCTCAAAGAGAATTTCTGACAATTTCAACGGTATCTTAGATCATCGCCTAAGTTGGTTTCCACCTTGTCATCTCTTAAAATGACAGGCTATTATTTTGTCATGGTTGGCCTCCATAATAGCTATTTCTAATGCTTCTCTTATGATCAGATGCCTGCATTGAAAAACCACTCATTGAAAATGCTGAACTTATATCCCATCGAAGAGATGAGAATATGTTCTCAGTCGGCACTGTATTAACATTTGCATGCAAGCGTGGATACAAAGCTATTCCAGATATATTATTTACTGCAACCTGCCAAGAAGATTTTAGCTGGAGTATGAATGAAGGATTTTGTAAGAGTAAGTACTTTTTAATAACTCCAATTTCATCTATGAAACTCAGCATTTAGAGAGCCAGTCGGTCAAAGATGTAACTAACTCTCCCAAAAGTATATTTGGGAATACTCTGTTTTTTAGAATTGCATTAATTTTTTAGAGTCTTAGAATGTTAAGGCTAAAAGGGATATTAGAGGTCATCTGAAAGAGCTATTAGAAGAGGGAAACATGGTACAGGGGAAACATTGTCCCTGAAGTTAGAGGACCTAGGTTCAAATCCCATCTCTGACAATCACTTGTGACCTGTATCACCTTCCTGGATGAAAGTTTCATCGTCCATAAAATAATAGGGTCAGACTAGAAGTCCTCTCCAGTCCCTTCTAGCTCTAGCTATATGATCCTATGATCTAACCCAACCTTCTACTTTTGTACTTGAGAAAACTGAGGTCCAAACTCCAATGAATGGGCTTTGAAAATATTTGTCTATGTAAATAGAGGTACATTCTTTGCAAAGAGGTGGTCTTGACTAGCCTATTGAGAAGTCAGTTTTTCAATAGTAAATATAACCACAATTTTTGAAAAAGCCATTGTTTTGTTAATGTAAATTCTGAATTACAATTTTTTTAGAGTTACAGAAACAGGGTTTTAATATTTTAAGGAACCAAAATCCTCTTTTGATGGTCCATCATAGCATGACACATAATATCTGTCAGGTTCTATGAAACTGAAAAGACTTCAAGTTTGAGCAAGGTGATTTTTTAAAAAAGATCTTTGAAATGCTTTATATATTTTATTTCATTTGATCCTCACAACAGCTCTATGAAGTAGGTAATATTATCTATATTTTACAGATGAGGAAATTGTGCCTCAAAAAAATTTAAGTTACTCATAATCACTCAATAAGCAAGTGTCTGAGTTGGAATTTGGCCTATATTTTGTTTGTTTGTTTTATAGAAGAAGTTAGTTGCATTGAAATATAACCTATTTGTCCTCCAGGACTCAAGTCTGGGCCCTTTTCTATTCTCTCTTATACTATTTCCCTTGGTGACTTCACAAGCTCACATGATTAAAATTATCTCTATGCAGATGACTCTCAGATCTAGTTGTCCAGCCCTAACTTCTCTCTTTTTTTTTCATGCAAACCATAATTCTATATTAACCATGCTGCAAAAAAGCAAGAAAGTAAAGAAAGTAAAAAAAAAACAGTCTGCACTCAAAGTTCATCAGCTCTCTCTGTGAAGGTGGATAGCATTTTTCATCATGACTCTTCTGGAAGTGTCGTGGATCATTGTATTGTTCAGTTTTTCACAGTCAATAATCATTATAATATTGCTGCTACTATGCACAATATTCTTCTGGTTCTGCTCACTTCACTTTGCTTCCGTTCATATAGATCTTCCCTGGTTTTTCTGAAACCATGCTGCTCATCATTTCTTATAGCACAATAATATTCCTTCACCATCATACAACACAACTTGCTCCTCAATTGGTGGGCATCCCCTCAATTTCCAATTCTTTGCCACCACAAAAAGAGCTGCTATAAACATTTTTGTACATAAAAGCTTTTTTTCTTTGATATCTTTGGGATACTAGTTGCAATATTGCTGGGTTAAAGAGTATGCGCAGTTTTATAGCCCTTTGGACATAGTTACAAATTATTCTCCAGAATGGTTGGGCCAGTTCACTATTCTACCAACAGTGCATTAATGTACCTATTTTTCCACATTCTCTTCAGCATTTGTCATTTTCCTTGCCATGTTAGCCAGTCTAAGGTGTGAGGTTTCACCACAGAGTTGTTTTAATTTTCATTTCTCTAATTAGTGATTTAGACACTTTTTCATTTGATTAACAATAGCTTTGATTCTGAAAACTTCCTCTTCAAATCCTTTCACCATTTATCAATTGGGGAATGGATTTTATTTTTATAAAATTGGCTCAGTTTCCTATGCATTTGGGAAATGAGGCCTTTATCAGAGAATCCTGCTCTAATTCTTTTTTTCTCTGTCTCCTGCTTTCCTTCTAATTTTGGCTGCATCGGTTTTATTTAGGCAAAGTCTTTTTAATTTCATGTAATCAAAATTATCCATTTTACTTCTTGTAATTCTATCTATCTTTTGTTTGGTCATAAACTCTTCCCTTATCCATATAGCTAACAGGTAAAAATTTCCATGCTTCCCTAATTTGCTTTTAATATCACCCTTTATGTCTAAAGCATGTACATGTTTTGGCCTTATCTTGGCATGTGGTATAAGATGTTGACTTACGCCTAGTTTCTGCCAGACTGCTTTCCAGTTCTACTAGCAGTTTCTGTCAAATAGTGAGTCCTTGTTACCAAAGTTTGGATCTTTAATTTGTCAAATACTTGATTACCATAGTCATTTACTATTGCTTATTGTGTATCTAATCTGTTCCACTGGTCTACCACTCAGTTTTTTATTCAGAGCAGATTGTTTTGATGATAATTATTTGTAATATAGTTTGAAATCTGGTACTACTAGGCTACTTTCCTTCATATTTTTTTCATCAATTCCCTTGACATTCTTGACCTGTTCTTCCAGATGAATTTTTAAAATTACTTTTTCTAGCTGTACAAAGTAATTCTTAGCTTGATAAGGCACTTAACAAATTAATTAAGGTAGAATTGTCTTTTACATTATTTTGGCTCAGCCTATTCATGAGCCATTACTATTTCTCCAATTGTTTAGATCTGTCTTTTGTGTGCAGTGCTTTGTAATTGTGTTCATTAGCTCCTGGGCTTCTCTTGGCAGATAGATTCATAAGTATTTTATACTATTCCCAGTTATTCTAAATGGAATTTCTCTATCTTTGGATATCTAGCATATCTAACTTTTTCTAAAATTCGATTTATCTCTTTTTTTTCTTTAAAAAAATTCTTTTCTTTTTAATTTTTGAGTTCCAGATTCTCTCCCTCCCTCCCATCATTTCCCCACCCACTGAGAAAGTAAAATATATCAATTATACATGTGAAATCATGCAAAAGATATTTTCATTGTAGCCATAGCATACAAAAAGCAAATAGTAAAAATAAAGCAAGAAAACTGTACTTCAATTTGCACTCAGAATTCTCTCTCTGGAGTGGATAGCAATTTTTTTTATCATGAGTCCTTTGGAATTGCCTTAGATCATTGTATTGATCAGAATAGCCAAATCTTTCTGGTGATCACCTTTATAACATTACTGTTACTGTGCACAATGATTTTCTGGTTCTTCTCACCTCACTTTGCATCAGTTCAAATAACTCTTGCCATGTTCTTTTTTTTTTCTGACAGCACTCTCTTCTTACAGCACAATAATACTCCATCACAGTCAAATGCCAAAACTTGTTCAGCCATTCCTTAATTGATAAGAATCTCCTCAATTTCCAATTCTTTGCCGCCACAAAAATAGTAACTATAAATATTTTTGTACATATATATCCTTTTCCTTTTTCTTTGATCTCTTTGAGATATAGACCTAGTAATGGTATTGCTGGATCAAAAGGTATGCACAGTTTTACAGACCTTTGGTCATAGTTCCATATTATTCTCCAGAATGGTTAGGCTAGTTCACAACTCCACCAACAATTCATTAATGTACCTATTTTTTCTCATTCTTTACAGCATTTGTCATTTCTGATAGGTGTGAAGTGATACCTCAAAATTTTAATTTGCCTTTCTCTAATCAATAGTGATTTAGAGCATATTTTCATATGATTATAGATAACTGATTTCTTCTGAAAATTTCCTGTTTGTATCCTTTGACCATTTATCAGTTGGACAATGACTCTTATTTTCATAAATTTGACTCAGTTCCCTATATATTTGAGAAATGAGGCCTTTATCAGAGAACCTTGCCATAAATTTTTTTTATATTATTTTATTGCTTATGGTATCTTTTGATAGTTTACCTGATTATCTTTTTTCAGTTAGGTCTGTTTTTACTGTGGTTTATCTGAGATCATAATTGACACCCCTGCCTTACTTCAGCTGATACATAATAGACTCTGCTCCAGAACTTCATTTCAACTCTGTGTGTGTCTTTCTATCCCAAATGTGTCTCTTGTACACAACATGCAGTTGGATCCTAGTTTCTAATCCAATCCACTATCTGCTTCTGTTCTACGGGTTAGTTCATCCCATTTACATTCACAATTATGCTTATTAACTGTGCATTTCCCTCCATCCCATTTTCCTCTGTTTATCCTCTCTCTTTTATCCTGGCCCTCCTCAAAAATCTGTCTTCCTTCTGATCACTGCTTCCCCCAATCCACCCTCCCTTTTATTGTCCCCTCCCCTATATCTTTTATCTCCTTCCTCTCCTGTGTCTGAGTGTGTATTCTTCCCTCTTTGAACCAATTCCAATGGAAGTGAGGTTCAAACACTGCCTAGCACCACTCTGATTCCCCCCTCCACTGTAAAAGCTCTTCCTTGTACACGACTTTTATGTGGGAAAATTTCCCCCATTCTACATCTCCCCCCTTCTCCCAGAGCATCCCTTTTTTTCATCTCTATATTCTTTTTTTTTTTTTTGGCAATCATACCAATATAATCAACTCACATTCATGCTTTTTCTCTATGCAGACTCCTTCTAACTACCCTAATTACCCTTCTTAGAAGTTACCTGTACCATCTTCCCACATGGTAATGTAAACAGTTCAATTCTACTGAGTCCCTTAAGATTACTCTTTAATGTTTACCTTTTTATATCTCCCTTGAATCTTCTGTTTAAATGTCAAATTTTCTGTTCAGCTCTGATCTTTTCATCAGGAATGCTTGGAAGTCCTCTATTTCATTGAATATTCATTCCCCTACCAGCACCCCTTCAAAGGATTTTATTCAGTTTTGCCAGGTAGGTTGAAATTCTAACTCCTTTGCTCCTCAGAATATCATATTCCAAGTCCTCCACTCCTTTAACATAAAAGCTGATATTTGATATTAGAATTGTTTTTTTCTGGCTGTTTGCAATATTTTATCCTTGACCTGGAAGCTCTGGAGTTTAGTTATAATATCCCTGGGAATTTTTAT